AAAAAGTAATTTTAATGGGAACACAGCAATCAATATTTGGCTTTTAATTAGGTTTTAGTGGGGTTATTTTGTGTATTTTTGTATGATTTTTTTTGTATCCTGTATATTGTATTTGTGTTTTTAATATGCTGTGAACCGCCCTGAGTCCTACGGGAGAAGGGCGGTATACAAATTAAATTAACCATTAACCAATTAACCATCAATGTCTTAATATTGTCTTGAAATTCTTCTGCACAAACTATTTTTAAATGGGTTGACTGGTATGAACTGAAAACAGTCTTCCACCCATTCTTACTCTAATGGAAGGTCAAAGCACGCCTAAACTACATTAGGAAAAAAAGGTGTTCTAGAGTCCCCCCCCCCGATTTCTCTCTGGTACACAAAATAATACAACACCAAATCCACTGATCTGGAAGTGGACATTTATGCCATCAAATTCAATATTCTGGAAGAATCCAGATGGCTGTCTGCTTCTATTCAGACTCATCCAGGGGAGGGCAACTCAACATTTTCCTGAACAATTGATTCTACAGATATTCTTCATTTAACAATGGTAATTGGGACTAGAATTTCCATTGCTAAGCAATTGTCACATGAACGCACCACTTAGAAATGGCAGTTCCAGTTGCTGTTAAGCGAATCATACAACATGACACGGTCTCCATTGCAACCTCAACTTTGCTTGTTATAAGCTGACAGTGAAGGTCACAAAAGGCAACTGCGTGACTGTGGGATGCTATGATGGCCACAACTATGATAAGTACGACTTGTTTAGTACCATTCTAACTTTGAGCAGCTGCTGAATTAGAGGTCGTTAAATGAGGACTGTCTGTACCGTTGAACTACTCTGTCAGAAATTTTTCATAATGTGTAATAAAGGCATGTTTTCCTATAAATAAATGTTTTTATGTTTAAAGGTGATTTTTCTACTTTTATTATTTTATTGGGAGAATATTTTATGATTTTACAGTTCTAATGTTTTGGTGATGCTTTTATTGTTGCAACATATATATATATATATATATATATATATATATATATATATATATATATATATATATATATATATATATATATATATNGGAGGCAGGAGAAAGTTAACTACCGGTGTAAGGACTATAATTAAGGCACAGCCCAATCGCCTAGGACCGGTGACGAGGTCCAGAAGCCGGGCGCAGATGATGGATGGCGTATAAAAGAGACTCTCTCATGGACTGGCACGTAACCCTGACGAAGTCGGAAGGAGTCCGACGAAAGCTTGGTGTAGTTTTGTTTTATGTTATTAAACTTTGTACAGTTTGATATACTCCTGGTGTTCACAGTTTGTTTTTGGAAATATATATATATATATGATTCTGTGCTCTGGGTTGACAGATAATTTGGTGATGCTTTTATTGTTGCAACCGGCTTGATTTTCTATAACATTTTGCAGGCCCTTGAAAACTGCAGCATATCTCTTCTGAGTCTACTTTTCTCAAGACTAAACCTTCTAGTCCCCTGAAGCATCTTAGTGGCCTTCTCTAAACCTGTTCACATTTGTCCAAATCCTTCTTAAAATAAATCTTTAAATTCTAATGCAGGCAAAAACGCCACTGGTTAAATGCATAAGACAAAGAAAACTTCTGTTTGTTTGTTTGTTTGTTTGTTTGTTTGTTTGTGTGTGTCACCTTATTACTCCCACTTTTCATTCACAGGCTCACAGCCCTATTTTCTCTTATTTAATGAGCCATTCGGGGAGAGGAGGAAGTCCCATTATATCCAAATTAAATCATTTGTGTTAATTTACATTATTTGCACAATAATCAAACTGACAGGACTACTTGCAGTAAAACTTCAATTTAATGGACCCTTCACAAAAAAAAACCCTTCAATTTGATGAGTGAGTTATTAAATGGATATGGATAGGGGCAACACCAAATCAGGTAAGTTAAAGACACCTCAAATTTCTAATAATGATAACACACACACAAAAAACCCCTGCATTTGTTACTATTTTTTGGATTTTTTAAAATATTCTAAAACTAGAAGATGGAGCAATTCATTTCAACATGGTCTAGATCAGAGGTCCCCAACCTTTTGGGCACCAGGGACTGATTCCGTGGAGAGAGGTTTTTTCGCGGACCGGAGGGTGCGTGGTTTTGTGTGCTGCCTGCATCTCGCAGATGGGGCTTTGCTTGTTTGTGCGGACCGGTTGCTGGCATACTGCAGCCCGGTACTGGTCCACGGACCGGGAATTGGGGATCCTTGGTCTAGATTTAAAGATTTCAGAACTGAATTGCAATTGCAGAAGTTCCAGTTATTAAGTGAATTGTACAAAGCTGTTAAAATTTGCAATGTCAGGTGATCGCCATTTGCGATTTCCTGCCAGTTTACTCTTGACTTTGCTTGTCGGAAGTCAGCAGTGAAGCAAATGGCAAAAATGTGAGGGCACAAGACACTGCAAACATCATAACTGTTGCCCTGTTGCCAAGTTCCCAAATTGAGATCACCTCATTGTGGACATGCTGCAATGGTTGTGCAATGGCCATTAATCTCCTCATTCAGCAGGATTATATTGTCAGTTAGTGAACGAATTGTTTTTAGCCAAGGATTATTGTACACGGAAGGTTTTTTTTCTTCATTTATGCTCAGTAATGTATGCCATTTTTCCCACTATACAATCACTGATGTATCTTTATTTTTGGTATTGTTATAGTTCATTAATAAAAAATAAACAATTAAAAAAGATATATTGAGCCAGCCAAGGATCTCCTGTCATGATTAATATAATAAGCCACATATATTTTAAAATCAAATATGTGCAAATTAATGTGCTCAAGCATCACGGTAACTACTTCATGATATCCTACTTATTGGAGTAGCTGCAACTGCAGCTCTTACAGGGGAATCTAGGCCAGGGGTAGGCAACCTTGGCTCTTTTATGACTCGTGGACTTCAACTCCCAGAATTCCTGAGCCAGCCATGCTGGCTTAGGAATTCTGGGAGTTGAAGTTCACGAGTCATAAAAGAGCCAAGGTTGCCTACCCCTGATCTAGGTGATTTGTTTAACCTTTCAAATCATGAAGCTCAGTATTTCTATCAGTGCTACAGTGATATAGTGCTAGCTCAGAATTTTATTAGGAAAATAAAAGAAGAAACGTTGGAAATGATATATCTGTGGTCAGGAAAAACTCCACAGCAGCTAAACCAAATTATCCTATAACAGCATTTACGTATTTATTTTGTTTATATGTCACCCATCTTACTACAGAGTGAGTACAGGCAGTTTACAACACCATAAAAACAAGAAAATAAAAACATTAAATTAGCATTACTATATTAGCATTGTTACAAATATTATTAAAGAAAATGGATACCTGATGAGGATAATTATACCAGCATTGTCGTGTATCCCAAAACCAGGGTGACTACAATAAAGAGAAAAATAGAGTAATACAGAGCGCTCTTATCAGCAGGATTTTAATGTCTAAATGGTGGCTTCTGAAAGATATTTTGATTTCTTAGTTTAACTCGGTTTGGGAAGTTTCTTTTCTTCTTATACTGCTTATTTTTATGTAAAAAAAGCAAATAATATTTCTCCAAAATGTCTCTTGCAGTAAAAAAAACCCCTTCTTGCATGAAAACTAGCCTTTATTTTTTATAAAATATTTTGAGTATTTTTTAAAATTGTATTTTACAATTTCACAAGACAGACTATTTTGCTATATACATCCCAACATCTCTTTACTGTTGATTATATTGGCTGAGTCGGTTATGAGTCAGCAGTTTCCATCAGGGGAAGAGTTGTGCAGATTCCCCATTCAGGTGCTTATTTTTACCAAAGTTTGCCAAGCACATTTTCCATGCAAAGAAAAATAAAATCTGGCAACTAATCTTTTGAAAAATCACTAGAATTGTTTATTAAATACTAAATTGTTTATTTCTTTAAAATTATCCATAAAAACCTTATCAACAAACATTAGATTTTAAAGGTATGACATCTGCCATAATTGGACAATAACAACATTTTCAGCAAATGTTAATATAGTTATGTGATAAATTCTATCATATAAATAGATTTATATATATCTAAAAACTCAGCATTTTCTTTAAGCAACCAAAAGGCAATATATAAATATAATCCTTTAATAACTGAATTATATACAGATACATTCATATAAGACACTGGAAAATCTATATGCTAGAATGCTATCCTTCTGTAAGGAATAATATACTGCAAATCTCAAACAAGTCCTTCTGGTTCTATATTAAAAAATATAAATGCGACTTCCGGTGGTGACAGGCTGCATCACATGGCGGCTTTTGTTAGCCGCCCGCCTGGGAGCGCGTCAAAGCCTGAAGAGACAGCGTTCGTTAGCTGTCTCTCAGCTCAGAACCTCATCCCTCGGGCAAAGAGGGGGGGGTGAGTAAGTCCGGATAGGGCTCGAGCTTCCTCTCACCCCGGTTTTGTTATAATCGGGGTTGAGAGATGCTAGTTCGCCCGGAGTCTGGACGGTCTCCGTGCCCCATGGCGCCTTCGCTCCTCTTTTGGAGCGAAGCCAGATGCAGCTCCCACCTCTGCTGTTGGAAGGTATTTGGACTTAAATTTTAAGCAGACGGAACTAAACAGGAGGTTCGGATTTACAGTGGATTGTTTCTGACTTTGACTCTGAAATATACTAACATCTTCTTTACTTTGTGGTGATTTAAAGTGAGAGAAAATGGCTGCGGACTTGCCGTTTCTCTGGAATACTTTCGTTTGTTTTTTTTTTACTTTCACCTTTTTTTTGGCTACTGACTGGAAAGAGATATATTGTTACTTCTCCGGCTCTGGAAAGTTTTAGCTGCAATGAATTTGTGGTGTATACTGGCTGGTGATATTAATACTGCTATCCTTTTGGATTAATGAAGTATATTTAAAGAAATTTGGAAGTTTTAAAATGGCTGCGGATCTGAGGAAAAAAAGAGTGAGAAAGAAATTTTTCTTTTTGGTTGCTGAGTGGATCTCACTGAAAATGTCTTTACTCTTCATTATGAATGACCTACAGAATGTTTTGATGCAAGCAGTCAAGCAATACAGTGTGGAAGTTAAAAATTTATGTTTTAAGAGATTGGAAGAAGCATATGGAACTGTGACATCTGCTCTCCAGAAGTTTATAGTTTCAGATTACATTGAGCAACGGGTGGATGAAGTATGTGAAGAAGATGTCTTGGAAATATTCCAAAATGATATGCCATGTTATGGAGATTTGGAAAGTGAAAAGTTTGAAAAGCTGGGAAAAGAAGCGGTAATAGACTTGGTTATGGTTTGGGTGTGCCTCCCTAGTGAAATTTTGAGAAAAAAAGGTTTATATAGAATCCATTTATGGGTCGTACACCAGAGAAAACCAGCTGAAGATGTTGCTGTTTGTGCTCTTGGAAGAAGTTTACAGGCTTACTATAAAACGTAAAAGGTGGAAAATGTACTGATTATGAGGTTGATTTTGTATCAGTGATGTGAAAATGAATGAAATTGGGGGGAGATGTAAAATGGAGAGCTGGGTTAGAAGGATTGTTTTTGAAGCTTATCTTTTTAAAATTTTGGATTAGCAATATAATAAGATGAATGAAGTAGATGATTAATGATATATAATTATAAAGGATTTATGATTATTGTAATGAGAAATGGTAAAGTTTAATCTTTAGATATTTGGATTGGGGGAAGTTGGATAAGTTATAAAATGTAAAAGGTGGAAAATGTACTGATTATGAGGTTGATTTTGTACCAAGTGATGTGAAAACGAATGAAACTGGGGGGAGAAGTAAAATGGAGAGCTGGGTTAAGGATTGTTTTTGAAGCTTATATTTTTAAAATTTTGGATTAGTATTATAAATAAGATGAATGAAGTAGATGATTAATGATATATAATTATAAAGGATTTATGATTATTGTAATGAGAAATGGTAAAGTTTAATTTTTAGATATTTGGATTGGGGGAGTTGGATAATTATATTATATTATGAGTTTTGGTGTTAAAATAGAGTTTTTTTATTATTTGAGTTAAAGTTTTTTTTTAAGGATTGTTTTTGAAGCTTATATTTTTAAAATTTTGGATTAGTATTATAAATAAGAAGAATGAACTTATATGAATGTTTTGAAGTAGATGATTAATGATATATAATTATATTATTTTAAAGGATTTAATTTTTATATTTAATGGGATTATTATAATGAGAAATGGTAAAGTCTAATTTTTAGATATTTGGATTGGGGGAAGATGGATAATTATATATGAGTGTTGGTGTTAAAATAGTATAATTTTTTTTCTTTATTCGAGTTAAAGTTTTTTTCTTATATAATTGATTGCTTTAGGGTGTGTTAGTTCTGGGAAGTCGGGGAGGGGAGGTGATTAGGGGGAAATTATAATTTGATGTATTTAATTATTATAGGTATATAATGGAATTATATTAATAAGAGGATATACTCGGCTGGTACCCCAAGTTGCACTCGATGAGGTGGTTAAGAAGGCGAAGGGGATGTAGAGAGGTGGTAAGAAAAGGAGGAGAGGTTGTGGGTTTAGGGGGAGGAAGGAGAGGTAAAGTGGATGAGAGTGGAGGCAAGGCGGGGACTGCCGAGTGTATCCGAAAATGTTTTGAGTATTTTTATTGTTTGTTGGTGTATATACATGCATCATTTGTATTTGTTGTTTTAATTGAAAAATTAATTAAAAAAATTATTACAAAAAAAAAATAAAAAAAAATATAAATGCATTTCTATGACAAAGCAAAACTGAAGCTACTTTTCCAATTCTGTTAAGACAATTAAATAAAAACTGAGCATCCAAATAAAAACACTAGGGAAAAGCACCAAGCATCAACTCCTACAATTAAATTATTATAATTACATTTAGCATAATTTGAAGGTTGTCCAACATACTCACCAACCAAAGAAAATTGAATCCATATGTAAAAATACATAAATAAAATGTAAACCTCCACCTAGAATTAAAAAACAAAAATATATGACATACAAACATTGATCTAATAAAAGCTAAAAACACCTTATTAAAAAGTATATCTGTCTTCATGCTAAGAGAAAATGTTTGCCCAATGAAACTTTCAGATTCAAAATGTCTTCAATTTTTGAATTTTTTTATTATTTATCAAATAGCTTTCCATTAGTGCACAGAAGATGGAGGTCAAATAAGAGTCCCACTCACCTATGGTACATATCTTGGGGAAGCAGTCATTGAGGAAGAGAGGCAGAAACCATAGAGGTAGCAGGCAGGAAGGCAAAATGCTCAGATACTATAGTGATACAAGCCATGCATTAAAAAAGTGAGAAAATAAATTTAAGTAGGATAGAAAAGAGACAAGAGTCTATAAAAAAGTCAAGTGAATGCTTTGGAAAATAACCTCAGACAGTAAAAGGCAACTTGATAAAAGACACAAATCCTGCAAAGAAATAGATAAGATGCTTTTCTAACTGTAAATTCTACTGAATAACTCAGAGGAGATGGCATTAACAAACTAAGATATACACAGTTTTGATAATGTGAAAGAGATCTAGATAAAGGATTGTGTCTGGGGTCTTTACCACTACAAGTATCTCTACTGGTATAAATGTTATAAATATATATTTTTTGTATTATGCATTACTAATTCTAAGGTCTGAAATTCAAGGACTATTTGATATTTACTTTTAGAATGAAGAATTGCAACTATTTGAATTTGAATTCTACACAAACCTACATGCTCTCACAGAACTTTGTAAGGGTGCTTGGTTTATCCTGGTTCCTCCGGTGACGAAACCACCGCTGGATTTTTCGGACATCCCAGTCTAGCTGTTTTGATAAACCTTCTAATCGTCTTGCATCTGGATACTAGGAAATGATCAAACAGATATAAAAAAGCTTTTTCTTTTGGTTCTTATCAATTTTCTAAAATAGGTTCTTCTCATTTCTGCTTAATTGTCCTTCAGTGTGCAACCTGCTGGATATTATCTAGAACTGTACATTTTGCTAGGAAAGGCAAACAGGAAATATTCAGTTTGAGAAACAAAATCCTTGCATAAATGTACTGGGAAAAGTTCCAACTATGTTCAACTACAGGTAGTCCTTGACTCATTGAGCCCAAAATTTCTGTTGTTAAGCAAATTTTGTGAGTTTTGCCCCATATTATGACCTTTCTTGCCATAGTTAAGTGAATCACTGCAGCAGTTAAGTTAGTAACACAATTGTAAAGTGAATCTGGCTTTCCCATTGATTTTGTGTGCCAAAAGGTCACAAAAGTTGATTATATGATAATGGGGCACTGCAACCCATCATAAATATGAGCCAATTGCCAAGCATCCAAATTTTGATCACGTGATCATGAGGATGCTGCAATGATCGTTAAGTATGAAAAACACTTATAAATCACATTGTAAATTTGAATAGTTATCAAACCAACGGTTGTAAGTTGAGAACTACCTATACTGTATACCAGGGGCCACCATCCTTCTTGGATTGGCGGCCCAGTGGGAGGGAGGGGCAGGTGCCTTACGTGCGTATGCGCAAATGTGACTGTGGCCACACGTGCATGTGCTCGTACAAACAGGCTGCGAGAATGCGCACCATGCAAACGGGGCTGCGAGCATGCGTGCAAGGCTCTCAGTGATGGCGTTTGTGTGAGGTTTGTGGCGCCACCTCTGCCAGGCTCGTGGCAATGCTACCACCAGCGCGAGGCCTGCAGCATGGCCTGCAATGATGTCACCACGGCGTGAGGTTCGCGCCGCTACCCCTGCGTGAGGATTGCACTGCGGCCCGCAGCAATGATGCCCTGGTGTGAAGCTCGTGCCGCCACCCCCGCATAAGGATCGCGTCACGGCCTGCAGCGATCCCACCCCAGCGTGAGGCTTGCGCCACCACCCCTGCGCGAGGATCATGCTGTGGCCCACCTGCCGCTTGCGGCACTGCCGCCGCCTGCACAAGCTTCATTGCAATGCCGCCACCTGCATGTGGCATGCTACTGCCCATGGCACTGTTCATGGCAACACCGCCGCCCACGCAATACTAGCGGCGTTACAACCACCCGCACAACACTCGTGGCAATGGTGGTACGAGGGGGGCTGAGCACACGCACTTGCGCATGCACTGCCCAGCTACTCACATAGCCCGGCGGTCAAGAGGCCTCGGCCTGGTAGTGGGCTGCGGCCCATAGGTTGGGGACCTCTGCTGTATATTCATACTGCTGAAATCTATCTTTTCTCCACAATTACAGACACTTTTCCAAGTAAATCATTCTAATTACTGTACCTGAAATTTTGTCAGCAAAATCTGGATGTGAAGCTCAGGCAGAAATGTGGTTTTTTGTTTTTTGTGTGTTTTTGTGTGTCTGGAGGTGGTTTCAACTCCCTTTTTTGCACTGGGTAAAAAAAAACGTATTTCTCTACAAGGCAGTGCTAGCTTTCATATATATCATAAACAGTATGAAGACTATAGATGTGCAAAAGAACCGCTGACTGTATGTCAGGCTTGCCCCAGCTAGGTCCTTAGGAAAGAAAGACCCTCAACTCCATTTGGTTGAAATGACAGGTTCTTATACTAAGGATTAGTGGTTGCAAACAAAGCAAGGCTAGAACTAAGGTTTCATGTGCAGAGACTACAAAGTTTTCCCTTTCGTGGCCCTCCTCCCTTGATCATATTGTCCTTTTCCAATTACATGCTGGTGCGATGTTTCGGGAACCGCTATGATGTTGGGCACTTCCTGCAACCGTTTCACATTCTTTCCCATGCCAGGTGTCTTGATCAATCTGATTTAACATGTCTGCTTTCTGTCAGTGCCATTCCCTCCCCCCCTTACATGCACCTCCTGCACATCTCCTCCCCCCCCTTTTACTGCTCTCACCTCCCTCCATTTATGACAAGACTCTGGCAAGCTTAGCAAAGTATAGTGAAGATGGCAGATCTGACACTGTATTTGCATGTTCCACATAAGCAGAAAGAATACTACATAAATCTTCCTCTCTTTTGTCCCCGGCATCCCTACCAATGCAGCTAGAGATCCTTGATTAAAAAATAATTAGTTATTAAATTCTGACAATATTTATTGGCCTCTTACAACGCACTGATACAATATGAATCTGAGGGTGAGCGAAAGCAGGAAATAGGCAATAAAAAAACAAAACAAATTAAGATGGGAATTAAAAGATAAAAATATTACTTAGACCAACTTAAAAGAATTTTAAATAATTAAAAGCTTACATACTTCTTCCATATTACAATTAAACCATAAGAAAAGAATACTGAACCATTGCCCCAAGGGACTAAAGTAGTATGCAATATAATACTGCAAAACAATCTCATAATAACAATCTGACAATCTGACAATCACTTACTTTAGTGATGGAGGTAAACACTTTTTCTAAAATTGCATTGGGTTGCTGTCTGTGAGGTCCACTGTCTTGAATGTTAACATGCACAGCACAGGGTTTGGCAATAAACCTGGGGAGCCAATTCCAGAGAAACAATCATACACAAAATAATACCAATATTGTGTAAAGGTAATGTGAACATTTAAACACTCTCAATTACATAGTTGGACACCGCAGTAATAACTACATGGTTAAGAGCTCACCCACATGAAATTTAAAATGTTAAAATTTCAGTATATTTCTAAAGATTTGAAAAATGAAACAACTTTTCTAAAGCCTCAATTATTTGGTTGAAATGTTATGAACCACCAACTATACCTAATCATTTAATTAATAATCCTTTGATACATTACACCATGGGTGTCAAACTCGCCACGTCACGTGACGTGTCGTGACGTATCACGACTTTTTTTGCATTGCCAGAGCTGGGGTGGGCACGGCCTCCATATGATGAAACTGGTCCGCACGCCAGCAGTTTGACACCCCTGCATTACACAGTCTACTTGATGATTGTAATGATACAGTGTAATATCCTGTCTAAAACAAGAGTTTTAAAGACAATTTACTTCACCTTCATGGGCAAAAAAGGGATGAAGTTACATAAACAGCCTTTCCAAGTAATGTGCTTTTTAACAATGGCACTTGATAATAGTGGGAAGATCCAAATGAAGCAGTTCTATCCAAAACTATGTAGTGCATTTAAATAATAAATTGTGTTTGGAATATAAGGAGACTCTATAATAGTCTGCAGAGGGCCTATGTCTAGCTATGACATTTTGCTCCTGCTGCAGTTTCCAAAGACATTCCAGAGAGCCTTTCCTTAAAATATACCCTTAAAATATATCTTGCTTTCTGCTTTTAGTTTCTGTTTCTTTGTTTCTGCTGCTTTAAGGTGGGAACTGATGTAATTCTTATTGCTGCCCTTATTATGTTTTGAATTGGCTTTAACTTACTTGTGGATGTTTTAATTTTTGACCAATATAGACTGTAAGTTAGTGAGAGTTGTTTTGATTGCAGTTAATATAGACATGCTGTTCCTTCATATATGCCTATTACTCTCTTTTGGTCCTGTCTATTCTTCTTGCATAAAATATACTCTAAATCAGTGGTTCTCAACCTGTGGGTCGGGACCCCATTTGGGGTCGATCGACCATTTCATGGGGGTCGCCAACAAGGCTGTCCGCCATTTTTTTTTGTCTGCCATTTTTTTTGTCCGCCATTTTTTCCCCCTTTTCCAGCGGGTGCCTTACCTCCCTTGGGCTGGGCCAGCTGGTGGTCGGCCTGCTTCGTCTCTGCCGCTTGCCAGCTATGCCTCGGCCGGCGCAGGGGGCGGAACCACGCATGCGCAGTGCTCCCGGGCAGGGAAAGTCCTTGACTTACGACCGGTTGGGTAGTCCTCAACTTACGACCGGTTTAGTCCTCGACTTACGACCGGTTTAGTCCTCGACTTACAACCGGTTGGAGTCGCGGCATTAAAAAGGTTGAGAACCACTGCTCTAAATCCTTGTAGTCCACTCATGAAATTCATCCCACCAGCTTTCAATAATATCTGGTAAAACATGTTTGTCTTTCTGCATCAAGACATGTAGATCTTGTTTGTTTTCCATGCCCTGTGTATTTGTATAATAACAAGAGAATCTTTGGAACATATAACTTGACTATTCCTTCCTCTGTTCAGTGGTATTGTGCTGGTCTGGGCTTTTATGATCGCATTTTTCAGAGTTTCCCACGCCTCTTGAGTTGTTTTTCCCTTTGGGATTTTCATCCATGGGATATTTCCTAGGTTCTCTTTGAGTTTGTTAAAGTCAGCTCTTTTGAAGTTTACGACACTGGCTGGATTGTTTTCTATTGCTAGTGTTTGCATTAAATTCCAATATGATGTGGTCACTTTCACCCAAGGTTCCGGCAACTTCCTCTATCACTTCTTCTCTATTAGTAAGAATTAAGTCCAGTATAGCTTTGTGTCTAGTTCCCTCCTCCACCTTTTGGATGACAAAGTTGTCTGCTAGGTTAGTTAGGAATCTGTTTGATTTCCCACTTGCTGCAGAGTGTCTCCCAGTTGATATCTGGATAGTTGAAGTCTCCCATTACTACTGTGGTATGCTTCCTACATACATTTGTTAACTTGTTGGCAAAGAGTTCATCTATTTCTTCTGATTGTCATTTTTTTCTCTTTTATATTCACCCCTATACATTCTGGAGAGATTTTATCTTTGATCATGTGCATTTCTGTAGATATGTAGTGTTCTCCTACATACATAGTGCAACTCCCCCTCCTCTTTTTGTAGACCTGATTCTTTTGAATAATTTGTATCCATCCATCAGTCCATTCCATTCATAGATTTTGTCCCACTGGGTTTCTGTAATGCCAACTATGTCATACCCCCCTCGTGTACTATTGCTTCTAGTTCGCCCTGTTTGTTCCACAAGCTTTGAGCATCTGTATATAAGCATTTAAGACTTTTATGCCTTTCCGTGGATATGTTTCTTGCATCTCCTGATAGTTGTTTGAGTTTTTCTTTTTTCTCATCACTGCCTGCCTCATTGTTTGATTTGTTTTCTTGGGATTTATGATTGATTTTGGGTTCTAGAGATTCTGAAGGTTGGTCATCCTTCCCCTTCTAGTTTAAAGCCCTTCTGATGAGTTGGGCCAGTCTTTTTCCGAGTACATTTTTCCCTGTTTTCGTGAGGTGCAGCCCATCCCTTGCCAAGAGTCCTTCACATAGGAAATGCAGTCCAGGATCCAGGAAACCAAAATTTTCTTGGTGACACCAATCCTTTAGCCCAGGGCTTTTCAACCTTTTCACCCAATGTACCACTTTTAGGATACGGCAATATCCGAGTACCACCAGTCGCCTAGCAAGGTGTCAAAAACTTGATGACCCCCCCAAAAAAGGAAAAAAGTGATAAAGTACAGGTAGTCCTTGACTTACAACAGTTCGCTTAGTGACTGTTTGAACTTACAATGGCACTGAAAAAAGTGCCCTCCAAGCCATAGCCAAGCAAGACACCTGCCAGCGCTCTTCCTCCTGTCCGAGGTTTCCATTTTTGTGAGCATTTCTGTTGAGGATTGGCAGCAGGGGTGGGGTGGGGTGTGTGTGATTTTTATTTCCCCCGTCTGATGGGTGGTTGCAGCAGGTTTTGGTCACTTCACATGACCCTGGGACACTGTGACCATCATAAATATGAATCAGTTGCCACGCATCTGAATGTAAATCACAAGACCCTGCAGATAAAGCAACATTCCAGCTGATTGGTGCTTCTTCAGGGCTCAGCAAAGCGCCAGGATCAGCGCCGAGCCCCAGCTGGAGCCTGGCACTGATCCTGGCACTTCCACTGAGCCCTGACAGTCCCAAAGAAGCGCCGATCACCTGGAAAGCAGCACTGATCCTGGCACTTCCGCTGAGCCCTGACAGCCCTGCAGCTCCAGCCATCTCTCGCTCAGGCTTGTGCGGTGCTGCCACCGGTTCAGCTCATTCCCCTCCCCCGCTATCACTTTTCTAGGATGGTCGTGTACCACCTGCCAGGTGCCAATGTACCACAGGTGGTACCCGTACCACTGGTTGAACAGCCCAGCTTTATCCAATGGTTTATTTCTAGAATTCTTTTTTACCTCAATGGGCGTTGACCTTTCATTGGGAGTACATTGAGAACATTACATGCTCCTAGCTTAATTTTATTGCCTAATTGTTTATAATTTCTCATTATTGTATTCAGGTTCTTTGTTGTGTTGTTCTTGCCAATGTGGTGGAGGAGAAAGGGGTAGTAATTTGTAGTCCTAATTATTTTGGTTAGGTTCTCAGCCACATCTTTGATTTTTGCTTCAGGATATTTTGCTCCATTCTGTATTTGTAAGTCAAATTCAAGTCTTGTTTTCCTTTAGTTGTAACCTTTAGTTCCTACTGTTTCCCTCAGGATCTTGTTTAACATTCAAAATCTCATCCTACCATAGTCTTTAAAAAAAGAATTCAAAGGAGAATTCTTTGATGTGGGAAGATTTCTTATAATTAATTCCAAAACCTTGTTTCAAATCTGTCTCAATCTGTCGTCTGTTTGTAACGTTGTAAAATCAATGTTCTAATTACACTTTTGCTGTTTATTCCAAAAGAATTTAAGTTCTTAAACTTGTATTTAAGGATTGAAGGAAACTCACCCTGTGATTCAAACTTGCCAATAAACATATTTCTAATACCTGAAAAGAAGTTAACCAGTAATTTCCAAAAGTGATTAGAAAAGGAATGATGTGTATTTAACAATCATATCAATATAAAGCTTCTTTTCTAAGTGATCATCTTAATTACTTTGTCATAAGTCCTGTTTTCAAATACTATGTTAAATACTAAAATAAATACTAGAAAAATGTTTCTATTCAATTGTTATCTATCATAATATTAAGAAATGTACTAATTTAAGGTTGGTTAAAGAGAATATTACTGGAAGAAGAGAAAATCAAAGAAAACTACTATGTGGATTATGGAAATATAGAAATTAATTGTTATGGATTATTTTTAAATGTAAACCCAGATAACACGCTGTTTACCAAATATTAAGGTGACTATGTTAAAAAAAATCAATAAAATATATTAAAAAAGAAAAGGAATGGTGTGAACCCATTGACCTTCTTAAAGGTGCCAACTGCAATTTGAATGAAATATGCCCTCTCCCCGTCTCTCAGAACTGTCAATCCATCAGAGACTGCTGTTTTACAGTATCCTCATGAGGAGCAACTAAATGGAGTACTTGTGGGTGATCTCAAGTTGTCTCCTTGTCCAGAAAGGAATTACAAAAAGATTATCTACTTGCCAGCTGTGGTCATTGGCTCTGCTTTTACTGGAGCTGTCTTCAGTTTATGATTTTTCCCTGGAAGTCCCTATATGAAGCAGTATATCAGTGTAATGGGAGCAAAGATCGTTTGCTAGGATAAAAAGGTATGGAGAACTATAGCAAAGTTTGTCCCTATTAATTCCATTTAGTTCATTTTCTTTTGTTATGCCTTAATTTTTGGGTTTACTATTTCTTACTACAATGTTATGCTTTACATAACATTTCTTACCCCAAAAGAGAATAGCA